GTGCATTACAAGACATCTATCAATATGTATGTATACCTCCACTATTAAACTGTCATATTCTGCACATTTCTTATACTATCTAAATACATAAGAGTATAATTCATATGTATAATATCAGTTAAAATAAGTGCTTCAACATAGTTAACATTGCAGGAAAGCAATATATTAAACGTTAAGTACTTTGTCAGGCTTAATATTTATCTGTAGATACCCCCAAAGCTTTTTTCTTATTTAAAAGAAGACCTTAAGCTAAAGTATTCTTTAATGTTTAAATAAAGGTTAATTCGTTTTTCTGTTTTGCACCTCCTCCTATTAATATCTTTGTATATCCGGCACAAAAATGTTTTATTGTAGAGATCACTTACAGTATCTTCTTGATTTTTTTATATTCTATATTTCTATCATTGACATTCTACTTTCCCCCTATGTTGTATGTACTCTTAATATTTTTTTCATCAAATCCAACATATTCAACAAAAAATGAAATAATGTGCTTTAACCACTAGGTGGTGCACACAAGGTACAAACAGCGTACAATGCCATAATAACTTTTTATTATTAGTGTAGGACACTTATGTATGTATAACATCTGAAGATGTGTAGTTTTATTCATGTTTTCACAACAGTTTACAGGATATTTCTATATTATTTCACGTTTTACTTCTACACATTAATATCTGATTTGTAAAACATCACAGACAGAAAGGTATATCCGTAATTTAATGGTAAGCTATTGAAATTCTGATTCCATAGATGTGTCTCCCATCACCCAAAACCCCTGACTATTCTTTCAACTCAGTATTTACATTCTTATATTCAAAGAAAATCAGTAATATCTTTAAAAACTACAAGTCCTTTTCTATAAGCTGTGCACCGTTATGGTGTAAATATAGCCTATCTACCAATTGGATAAAATATAAAAGTCAGCCAAATTAATGTTGATACTGCAAGGAGACGTATTGTGTGAAGAGCAATTGAAGATGTTGTTTAATAAGCCCCAGCCTGTTTTTCAGGTCTCAGGCTCGAAAATGACATTCCCAGAACAAATTACCATATCTTCCCTTCTAAAAGGGTTAAATTAATAATCTTTTTTCTCAAAGCAAGGTTACACCTGTGAGTTGGATGTAGAAGTGTCAGAATCAATATAGATGTTTTAATTTTAAAGTAAATTCAGATTGAACACAGTAAAAAAAATGTAAATTATTGTGTCCGTCCAAAAAAAAAAATTACTTATAATGNAAGCGAAGCAACTAAGCTCGCTCCGAGTTCTTTATTTTCCTTTAATCTAAAAAGCGAACTATTCAGTCAGACAGCAATTTATTGTAAAAGTAAAGCATTTACAATTTCAAGCACTTTATCTCAAATCCAAGCACCATTCCCAAAATTCAAGCACTTTTCAAGTCATGAAAACACCTCGTAAAAATTCAAGCATTTTCAAGGATTTCAAGCACCCGTACGAACCCTGTAAATGAAACCTGCAACAGCTAAATGTTGTGGGTCACTTGGGGGAAGTCCAACATGCCGTTTGGCTAATGTGTTAGCAAACAGTGGCTTATTTAAACATTAAGCAGACAGAATGCCATTAGCATTCATTCAGTCATGTTTCTGGTGATTGGATGAGAGAAATATCTGGGTCATTAGCTGCTCAATGCTCCATTCTCTTTAACATCTAGTCTCTAACTGTGTTTGTCTGTTGTTTTGTGCTAAGCAGGAAGTGTAGTAGTGTAATGAGTATTAGGTTTATCAGGGCTCAAAAATGGTTTGAGTGAACAAAACAATAAAGTGGCTGGCCATCAAACCAACACAATGAGCTGAAATCAGCTGATGATGCTCTGTGGGCCAATCTCATTAACAGGGGAAATATTATGCTTTCCTGAAATGAGTTATACTACAGGAAAACGTGATGGCTAAGGTGCGGGATCTCTCTAAGCAGTTGTCCAATTACAACAGAAACAACCAATCAGAGCAGACTGGGCTCTGGTTTCAGACAGAGGGTGAAAAGAGGTGCTGCAGCACAGGCAGTATGAGACAAATAAAGAGCTTTTTGAACATTAAAGCATGGAGACATGTCCCAGTAGAGACACAAAATACTAATATGAAGCTGAGCATAATAGGGCCCTTTACTATGACCAGGGTTGGGAGGGTTACTTTGTAAATGTAATCAGTTACTGATTACTGAATACATGGCTATGAAAGTACCGGTAATCCAAATACAGTTACAGTTACGTCTCTTAAAAAAGTAACGTAATCAGATTGCTTTTAGATTACTTTTGGATTACTTTCTTTTTCCATCACAGGCATGTTTTGGTGAACAGGAGACACAAAAAGCAAAAGGAAACTGAACGTGTTTTTACTGTTTTAATGGCTTATCAAGAGCACAACTGAAACATAACATCTGAAACGATGCAACAACATAATAAACTTTTTGGGGATGCAGCTTGGGATGTGAGGAGTGAGGGACACGGCTTAGAACGGGCGAGTCGCCTTCTGTGCTGCCAGTGTTGGCAGGACATGAATTAAAATGTCGAACTCTGACTTCATTTTAAGGACATGTCGGCCAGGGGTGTAGAGCTATATTTGTTTAAGCACTGGATCGGCAAAACAGGAGACTCTGTGCACCAGTCTGCCTTGATCTATGAATTAATGTCTGTGACACTCACAGTATCATGCTGCCCAAAGCTGCTTTATAGAAGGAAAACCTCCTTCACTTCATGAAATCTCTGCAGCACCAGGAGGCTGCGGGAGAGTTAACTCAGCCTCTGAGAAGACGAGCGTGCAGTGCCTTTCACGCACCGCCTTCGCTGTGTTTAACTTCAGAATCATAAGGCTAAAGGGCGACCGCAGGCTGATGTGTTTTAACCACACACACCTTTACACACACACGACTTAAACTCAGACTTTTGTTCCTCCATGTTTCGTTGTTATTGTTTCACTGAGCGGACCCGCCCCTTTTTTTTCAAACGCTCCCTTTTTTGGTCCATCTACGGCGGTAAAAGTTTTTGTGCGCTGTGATGATTCGGCTGTACCTTTAATAATGAATATTAAATGTTGTGAGGAAATCTTTCCACCAATAATTCCAATAAGTATTCCAAAATGTATTCACTTCAGGTTTACGAAAGTAACTGTAATCAGATTACTCGTTTTTCAAATGTAACGCGAGCTGAATACAGTTACTTGATTTTTGTATTCTGATTACGTAACGCCGTTACATGTATTCCGTTACAACCCAACCCTGACTATGACATGTCTTTTGATCCTAACTGGCAGGGAAAATGCTTCTTTGTGGCCTTGGCCATGTGAAGCAGCCATTTATCAAAGCATAATCAAAAGAGAGGCCTATGATTGATCAGTTTACCTGGGAAGAGATAATCCATTTATAAGTAAACACAACAAATCTTCAATATCTCACCTGGTTAAGCTTGGTGGTGTTGGTTTGGTTATCAAAATAAATACCAAAGCCAAAAATGGAATTTGGTCCGCTCAATTGTTTATACTTGCACATATTTTTTGCATACAAAAACTATTCTGATTTATAAATGAAAACGCTTCATTCATCTCTACCTCATGTTTCCCATTTCTCTGATATTTTCAACTAATTCCTTTATTATTATTTTTTCTGCATTCTGTGTTAAAATGTAGCAGTGAAGTTTATGGAAAAATCCCGAGATGCTTAGTTTGGATCCTGGAGTGAAGATGTTTAGGAAACTGCATATTTCCCCCCCACTCACTACCACGGAGCGTGTCATGGAAGATTAGATATGATGAGGAAGAGCAAAGGGGGAGCCACGCACGAGGTGTATGATACGAAAGTTTCCGTGCGATAAGAGAGGAGGAGGCAGAGACGCAGAGAGGGTGACGCTGGGATTGGAAGAGGATGGAGAGGAGAGAGAGGAGATAGATGAAGCGACAGAGACTCTGACAGGAGGGGAAGAGAAAGTATTGAGCGCAAAGTTGCGACCGGAGAGGAGAGGGAAGAAAAGATAAAGTGAAAGATAATGGAGACGAGAGAAAAGCATGAGCAAGACAAGGAGACGGGAGAGAAAAAAGACAGCATTGACAAAGTAAGAAATGAAGTCTAGGGAGTGGACAGAAAAAGTGACAGAGGAAATGTAACAGGAAAGCAAAGAAAGGAACTCTGAAGAACACATTTAATATGCTTCCTCTCACTGTGCCGACCTGCTGCTGCCCAGCGTATTACCATCAAACACACATTCACACAGAAGTGGTTCAGTAAACACCCACACACACACTTAGAGGTAATGTAACAAATCAGTGGGAAGACACACACTCTCTTCTAAATCTTCTCCTGTGAGGATGTCTTGATGCTCAGAAGATTGGAAGTGTCCTGAATGCCTTTATCGCTATACAGTAAATTCTCATCTCTCTCCGTCAGCACCAACAACAACACGGAAATCACCTCTAAAAATAGTGGCTTGTTTTCACACAACTCTCAATACCTCCAGCATCCAATCTTAAAAAAAAAAAAAATCAATAAACACATGGTTCAAGTTCTTCTTTCCATCATTAATAAACTACAAAACTGCTACTTCACAGATGACATCAGGACACGATAGTGTCTCTCCTAGGATTAAACCTATAATGCCTTCATTGTGTCCTTTCCTGTGATCGGTCATCACCTATAGTATAATGTGGCTAATACCACCTGAACGGTAAAACTGCCCATATAAGTTAAGGGTAGATCAGCATGTACATGGGCCGATGCTTTTCTGGTTATTACCTGTCCCCTTGTGTGTTATGAAGCTTTTTCTGCATGTAAACGGTCTGCAAAGTCACAAACCCTCAAAGTACACCCTGTAGCGAGTACAACTCTAACACAGAAAGACCTGTCGATGCTGCCCCAGAACGCCTCGTTGGAGATTTTCTTTTTCCATTGTTTTCTACTTGGGTATAGTGACGTATTTGGGTATAGTTACATTACGTCCACGGAGCCGTTACTTCCTCACACACACAGGCTGTGAGTCTGTGTCTGAGCACACACACAGACTCACAGCCAGGCTGCGGGTGTGTGTGTGTGCTCGGGCTGGTTTCGGGCTGGCTTTCGCTGTGTCTCGCTGTCTGGCAGACGGCCACTGGGCTCATAGGGAGGGGGGGCAGGAGCTCCAACAAGCCGTGTAGGACAGAGAGTGAATACACATACTATACAGAGATGCTGTATGAGAAACCAATGTGAGTTTGGAACATTGCACAATATAAATCTATTTTAGTAGACCTCAACAATAGAATTATCATCAGTAGAAATGGCCATGACATGGGACCTTTAAACTCAAAGCACTGCCTTTTTAAGCATAACGGCCCCTACACGCGGCGTGCGTTGCCGCTTCAACGCTTCTGCCCATTCACTTTCAATGGGGTGACGTCACGATTCGCCAAACTGCATTGTGGGAGCAAAGCGTAGTTTCTCTCGCGGTGCTCGCTGCAAAAGTAGAGCAATGTTCTACTTTTGACGCCTCGATGGAGGCGTCAGCCAATCGAATCATATGCCAGTCCAAGCTTTAGCCAATCAAACTGCGTGCATGTGTGTCTGGGGCGGGAGATTCATGTGATTGGTTGTTGGTCGAGTTTCAGCCCCCCCCGCCGGCAAGCGACAACGCACGCCGCCGTGTGTAGGGGCCGTAAGTGCTAGTAATACAGTCTGACTCTACACAGCAATACATAGCCAGGCTAGCTGTTTCCCTCTGCTTCCAGTCTTTATGCTAGGCTATGCTAAGCTAACCATCTCCTGGCTTTATCTTCAGACTTAACACACAAATATGAGAATGAATGTCCTTATCTAACTTCCAGCAAGAAAGTGTATTTCGTGAAATGTCACACACTACTCTTTTATCTTTTTCCAAACCAGTACTTAGTAATGTTATCATTTTCAAAGAGCTCAGTGTTCCACACAAAGAATGCTACTATTCAAGCATTAGTTGTTTAGTGTTTTACCTTTGGACTTCAAGTCTTTATGTTTGGGTACGCTAGGCTAAGCTAACACACAAACAGGAGAGTGGAATTCATTTTCTTACCTAACTTCCAGCAAAAAAAGTGTATTTCCGAAAATGTCACCTACTAGTCTTTTAACATTTCCTTCACAAAGTGCCAGGCCAGACTCTAGTAATTTTATAATTTTCCAAAAGCTCAGTTTTCCTTATCCACAAGATACATATATCTATTTTGGAAATCTAGCCAGCTGAGCCCTGAGACCCTTATGTTTCATCACTTTTTTGGTGTTTTACTACCTTTCAGAGGAAACTCAAGGTGTTGAACTTGTCCACCTCTGCAGAGTGCCAACCCCTATGAATCACCACACTGTCAGAAATGAGAGAAATCAATTTCAAAACGAAGAAACAGTTCATCAAAATGATCATCTGAGACAATGAGTTACATATTTCAGGAAGAAGGTGCGTCAGAGTCTCACCTCTACCAATTAGTACATTCTTATCTCCCCCTCATTGTGTTGTTAATCACTTGATTTCTGTTGTATCAATGTAAAAATCAAGCCAAATGAGCAGTTACTGTGCAAAGCCTCAAACCGTGTCTTCATTTACACCCGACAGTCAGACGTGTTGGGAATGAGCATTGTCTGATTCTGCACCTTTCCATTATAGCTGTGTTTCCAATCAGAGCTGTGAGCCTGCTGTTGAGAGACATCTGACACAATCTTCTTTTGAGTCACATCACAGTTGTGACTGTGAGTGGAATGTCACAGATTTAATATTGCTATTTTTAAGGTGCTACAAGTAGGACTTACCTGTCACCACCACTGTGAAATGAGTTGTAATGACGCACCCTGATGCCAAGCAAAGGAGGAAGATATGATGGCTAATGTCACAAACAATAAACTTCATGATTGGCTTGGTATCATTTTAAGTATTTTTTGAGTTTTGACTCATTTGGATTCATGTTTGTTAACTGAAACTCAAAAAAGTTAGATTATTTCCTGTAAATGATACAGAAGAAGTATAGGTATTTTACAATATAAAATGGACCATGAGTTCCAGCTCAAATCAACATTTTATTCTAAAGGAGATGCAAATTGGATGCCAAAACGGAGTGAAATATAGATAATATTTGCTATGCAGTGGCCTTTTGCTGCATATCATACCCTTCTCCCTATCGCCCAAAATCTTTCATGTGTGTCTATACTATTAAACTGTCCAAAAAAGATAACGTTAAAAAAACTAAAACATTGTGCTCGACAGCAGTAGCTCTCAGTTATATAAAAAGAAAAACTACAATATAGACATTGATGCATTTTGGCGCCACTGTCACTGACAATTCTCTCCCCATATGATCGCTCCATTAATATAAGGAACTTACAGACTATAACTGCTCATAAACCAGGGCTATCCGAAATGATTTAAGGCTGAAGACAATGGTTTAAGAATATTTAACATACAAATATTACAGCAAGGGCCAGATGCATGTAAATGTATTACTAAAACTCTGTGCATGACATAAAGACAGAAATATATGTAACCATTATTTTCCCCTTGATATGTAAAGCACGTGAGCCTCATCTGATCTCCCACAGTTAGCCATCAATGTAATAAGATGCTCTTACAATCAACTGGTGAGAGTGAAATCACATTTTGTTGATAATATGAGAAAAACAATTATGCATCCTGCTGTCATTACCATCCAGTCATGAAATTATACTGTGGAACACATTTTATGCAATATTGCCCTCAATCCCCTAAAACCAAATCACTCTGGGAAGTTGGTCAGTGTAACAGCGTAACCCAATGCTATGCACATCTGTCTTATGGTGTATCGCCCATTACTGGTATAACACACCGTCTTTTGGTTTCACATTCAAAAGGTATTCCTGAAGGTATATTTATCCCAGGATAAAAAAAAACTTTTTTCCCTCTTAACTGCTGTGCTCGGATATCATTAAACTAGATCTCACTAATGGTGCTCAAAATGCCAAGACAAAATATTTAAAAACTGAACAGTAATACATCATTATGGAAATCATGACCTGGTTAGCCAAGATGATCCACAGAGCTTTCAGTGAGCCATTTTATGTAGGAACAATTTTCTTTCAAATCAAGGATTTTGGCATCATAAGCGTATTTCGATTATATATCAATCAAAGGCAAAAAAAAAGATCTAAATGAATAAACACTACAGGTAAGAGGGAAATTATGTGTTTTTAGATTTTGGGGTGCACATTACACAGATTGTGTCCCATTAAGTACAACAATAAATCAGCAGCTTTTGCTCAGCATTAGGGTAAGCGTTATGATAATTGGTCATCTACCAATCAGAAGGACAGAGGTTTAATCCCCAGGATTTGCAGTTAATACTTTTTTTGGTCAAGATACTTTATCGTTTTTAACATTTGGATTGTCTATGTTGTAAATGTATTATCTTTTCAATCTATACACACAATAACTATTGCATCCATCCTGGGAGTTTTCTTCCATTTGGACCCATTCATTGTGTGTTTTCTCAGGAGTTTTTCCTTGTAGACTGCGGGGGTCTAAGGAAAGAGGGTGTTGTATGCTGTACACCAGGGCTACTCAATCCGGCCTCTGGGTGATATTTACTGGCCCTTTGAGTATAATGTTAACAAATAATCTAATTTTCTTTTTGGGCCAGAGTGCCTTTATTCCAGAGAGGGTGTTAAATTGAGAGATAGAGGGGAAGACATTGCCTGAAAACTTTGGCGGGCTCGGGTTTCGAACCCACCTACTAGCAACTGTAGTGACAACTCCTGTCATTTATTGCACCTCTGCTTGAATGATTAGTTAATTTCACCTAAATTAAATATAATGAAATGATGTTGATGGTTAAATCAGCTTCACATGTAGGCCTACTGAGTTCTGAACTTGCCATTTAGGTCTATAAAAGGGGCTATGTTGTTTGATTTAATCAAACACAATATATGCACTCCACTATGCTGTTGTAGTATTTACTGTATCTGAAGCCCCTTGCTTTGGATCATCAACCGGCCCCCATTCCAAACTAATTGAATAGCCCTGCTGTACACACTCTAAAGCCCCCTGTGACAATTGTGTCATTTGTTATATTGGGCTATATAATTACAATTTCATTTATTGATTGATCGTAAGTTGCTCCCGTAGGCATGTAGCCATCTACAGTATTGAGGTGTTTGTATGTTGCTTTGGATGAAAGCGTCCGCTTAATGTCAGGTAATGTAATAATTATGAGTGCTTACTATGAACTGCTCCACGTCCCTCTCCATGCCCACGTTAGGCAGATCCGGCATCATGTGGGCGACCACTTTGAAGCCAGCGTCCTTTGAAAGCTGGAAGGACTCGCATACAGCTCGCACCGTGTGGCCTCTGGAAGAAACACATGTACAAAAGGGAAAATATAAAGCCTGAAGGTGGAAGGGAAAGTCAATTATCCTTTACAAACACCATCAGACCAGCTGCCATAACGTCATATCTGCTTTCTTATCTCCATCTGTTCATTCCCCCCAAACCTCCTCACCTGTTGGTGTCTCGGGCCACGTCTTCATACACACTCTGCACTCCTATCTCCAGCCGGGTGCAGCCGTAGTTCAGCATGTCGCTGAGGTGTCGCTTCAGGCAGTAGTCAGGTCGTGTCTCGATGGTGATTCCCACACACTTTGTGTTACTACGCTCCGAGTATCTGCAGGAGAAAGCAAACCGTCATTTCAGTTTTCTATTATAAAATGATAGAATTCGTACTACCCTACAAGTCCCTGCAGGAAACAATCTGTCACAGATTTCTACTATATCTGCTTGTAATACAATATCATTTGTAATTTTTACATTGAATGGGTGAGGAACATTTGAATAAAAACACAGAAACCGTTCAAATGCATTAGTTTCCAACAAATTCAATAATAATTCGGATGAGGTATACAGACAAGGTCCAATAAATAAAAATTAATTGAAGCAGCAGAGTGCATTTGAAAATAATAATGAACATAGCCTTTTTATGAGTCATCTAATTTCAGCGTTCATTGGTAAAGACCTCTAACATTTCGGAAAAATAACTAAGAATTTAATGGAAGATGCATTTAAAGAGCTTAGAAAAACATAAAAAGATCAAGGTAGGAATTTAACTATCTCATTAACTGGGCCTGATAATAATAAAACACCAGAAAGCAAAAAACTAAACTAAAAAAGTACACAGTAAAATGTCCTATATCATATTATTTTATATTATCTTTAAAGAGAAACCTGAAACTAAAGTCTGTTTTTTAATTTATCCTAGGAATACACAATATTGGATATATATATAAAAGAAAAAATAACATACTGTTATGACCTCTATATTTACAGTCTATGGTTAGGACCCTAGAAAAGGTAGATATTGCTTTTTTTGAGACCTTTATGTATAAGGTGAATAAGGTCAAATCCATGTCAGATTTCAGGTGTAGAATCCCTGAGATTACATGGCAATATGATATACTTCCTGCTTTGATATTTTTACCATATTTTAAATCTGACTCTTTAGCCTAACTGACTCCGCTGGAGTGTTCCATATGCTGGGATCATTAAGCAGCATCAATTTACTTGCTGTGCACAGCTCATTATCCAGACTCTAACCTCACATTAAAGGACACACTAATGCAACAAATGAAATAAGAGGGATGGGAAGACAAATGTGTGTAATGAAAATGTGAAACGAGACATTAATGGGTGTTTACTTTGTGACAAAACAAGTTAAATACTTACACTGTTCAGTCATTTAGAAAACATGACTCATAAGGGGTGTAGATTATTGCATCTGATAACATTTGAAGTCATCATTTTCACTTTATTTACAGGTTAGTATTAAAGGTGGGGTGGGTAATTTTGGAGAAACCAGCTCGAGTGCTCTAGAATTTGAAAATACACAGCCGGAAAAAATCTGCCACTTCCTTACAGAGCCCCTCCTCCAACACACACGAACGCGCACATGACCAATGAGGGCACGAGATAAGTTTGTGCACAGATGGAAGGCTGACAGGCAGGTAGGCCATCCAGTTATTTTAGCCGGCTAAAATGATTGGTCGTGCTTTTTACAGTACCACGGCTTCCACAGATGACATTTATTTATGGATTTTTTGTCAAAGCACTTAAGATATTCAACGCTGTCGGGATGTTGAGAGCATTCCATGGAATATAACAAAAAGTGTATCTCGAGCCGGTTTCTCAAACTTACCTACCCCACCTTTAATATCTATTTGTCAATTAATGTTGGTATAATGAATATTTTTTCAACAAGCATTTTATTGGATTTTAACAGCCCACTGAAAAAGCTAAATATACTTTAATATCAGTTTATTGCAATTAATATCCTTTTTGCGTAATTCCAACACTTCACTCATATGTTCTTCATATAGAAGAACTGAACTTCCCCTAAGGGATATTACAGTCAGTCTTAATCTTAATATAGTGAAGCCCTAACACACATTATGGATAAGAGTCCTAACTGATGGTATTTATATTCTCCGATATAAAATATTGAATCAGTGTTTATACATTTCTTTTTATGAAAATATGTCTTCGCCTTGAGTTTACCGGAGGCCAGATGAAGTGATTGCTTCAATTATCAACCCACACATATATGCTTTCCACTGAGCTTGTGATATTATTGTAAAAAGCATATTTTCCGATGATCAGATAATAATACAATACAGCAGTCACCAGCTGCGCAACATGAGTCATCATCAAACTCCCTCTGCATCTCTCCACAAGTCAACTCCCTAATTCCCTCTTACAAAACAATGTGCACTGTATGACCATCAAACCATTCTCCAATAGATATTGTAATTATATAATATATTTTCCTGGTTGTAAAAGGCTGCAGATGACAATTTCAGAATTTACCAGATTATTCTTGCAGTTCCAAATATTTGCCTTTAACTATTTGGTAATGATATCCACAATATTCATTATTTATTAAAATGTCCATTATGTAAAAATGTTCCTAAAGCGTCAATGGTCAAACCCACAATATCGTCACAAAATCTAAAAGCTATATAATAGTTGGTCGAAATCCCTCCAGCCTTAAATAATAGGATGCCATTCTTAACCTAGAAACAGAACCTCAGACAGCAAGTCTGACGGAAGAAGCAATACAGAAGTACAGTGGGGCAAAAAAGTATTTAGTCAGCCACCAATTGTGCAAGTTCTCCCACTTAAAAAGATGAGAGGCCTGTAATTTTCATCATAGGTATACCTCAACTATGAGAGACAAAATGAGAAAAAGAAAATCCAGAAAGTCACATTGTCTGATTTTTAAAGAATTTTTTTGCAAATTATGGTGGAAAACAAGTATTTGGTCAATAACAAAAGTTCATCTCAATACTTTGTTATATACCCTTTGTTGGCAATGACAGAGGTCAAACGTTTTCTGTAAGTCTTCACAAGGTTTTCACACACTGTTGCTGGTATTTTGGCCCATTCCTCCATGCAGATCTCCTCTAGAGCAGTGATGTTTTGGAGCTGTCGCTGGGCAACACGGACTTTCAACTCC